ATTATAATTTAGAGTTATTGTATTTCATTCATGTATCTTAAGATAAGCGCAATGAAACATATATCCAATCAGCATTAGCAGAAAGAGATAATTCTTTTCGGAATACTCTTATCAATGGATATCGCAGAAAGAGATAATTCTTTTCGGAATACTCTTATCAATGGATTGGAAGAGATAATTCTTTGCTCTGAGATCCTGAGCCTTGCTTCATTGATTTCCTTTTGCTGGGTTGCGCTTAGTGTTTCGTTTTCTTTTGGTTCCTCGAAACCAGATTGAATAGCACTCCAATATTTCTTGGAACGCAAGAGATTTTCCATGACCAAACTCGAATACTTGTAGTCTCTATAGAATTTAGGAACAAATGGTGTAGCAAAGCTTTCTGAATCACTTGTCATTTGTTTGTTTTTCCTCTCAAACACTCAATTTGTGTATTTCTTTTTCAGGTCCAATTAGGCTCTGATACCAAATGTTAGCAATGGAGGGAATCTCTCTTAACAATGAAATTGGCTATTTATATAGCGTTACAGAATCAAATCTGATATAACTAAATCTAGTATGACTCAATCAAATATAAATCAAATATAATCCAAATCACTAAATCAAATCTAATCCTAACAAAAAATACTTGTACGAAAGAATAGGAATTAGGCAGAATTATCACAAGTATGTACTTTGGCTAATTTAATCATGAAATTTGAGATATAAGCCTATGAAAATAAAAAAATTTATCAGTTTAACTCATAATCATGATTTAGGGTTTCAGGCACCTTGATTGTTTTTTATTGAGGTGTGTTGGGTTGTTGAAACTTAGGCATGAGATAGGATTTTTACCATGTTAAATATAGATTATGAATGTGATTTTTTGTCGTTTTGTTTATGCCTTTTAGTAGGATTTTTACCATGTTAAATTTAGATTATGAATGTGTTTTTTTGTCGATTAGTTTATGCCTTAGATTATTACTTGGACTTTATGTTATGTGACCTAGAGCTATCTATGACTATTTAGGGAACCTTAAATATTGATTTGGTCCTTGAGCCATGTTGATATAGAAAAAACTCAAGGGAAGACTCTGATACTAAATGATATGGAAATCAGTCCAAGGGAAAGCTCTGATATGAAATCAGCCAAAGGAAAAACTCTAATACCAAATGATATGGAAATCACCACAAGGGGAATAAGATTTGGATTACCTTGTTGATTGATATCTCAAGCCAAGAACATTTGTTTGAGATTCAAATCACTCCACAAGAAAGATCGATCATGTCTAGTTTGAATGATTTGTGTTGATCAAATATCTCAAGCCAAGGACATTTGTTTGAGATTCGAATCACTCCACAAGGAAGATTGATCATGTCGAGCTTGAATGATCTACATGCAACCTAAACTACATAAAATTGCAAAGAAACTTAGTCATTGACTAAAGGAAAGCACAAATGCTTCTTTACTATATTTTCCAAGTCTCTTGGTTCATTCACATGTTTAGGGTCAATATTGATTGTGTGATTTGACTAAGTACTATGTGGGCATGATGGTTTGACTAGTATTATTACTTCGACTAGTAATGTGACGCATTCACTTAGGACTCATGCCACATTAAAGGGTACTACTAAGAGAGCTATAATTGTGCTTAGTGGAGAGCCTACCTTAGACTATTAAAAACCTGAAATGACATAGTTAGGTACCATTAGGGTAGCTTTTGGCTAGCACTCATTAGTAGGTATGTATGGTGTTATAGGGAAACTGAGAGGTCATCTACAAAGAGTGACGGTTTCTCCATCCCTGTTGAACTCACCCTAGAGACCGAGATAGATGAAGACACCCCGACTTATACACAAGAAGCATGATGACTGAATGAACCATAGAGAGTAGGAAAATGGAAGGTTATGTACTTAAAGCCTCCAAAGAAACCTCGATGTGTGACATGCACCCTTGTATATAAACTTAAAAACTTGATAGGGCTAAACTAAACTAAATTTATAGAATTAACTCTTGGATCCCATATAGAATAAATTGTTTCACAAAGTGAAAACTTACAATCTATTGGGTATTAGCTATTGAGTTATTCATGAAAGTTGTTCAATTAATTCTCCTTTTGAAGCTATAGAAAAAAGTTTCGTGCCATTTATTGTCCAATGGTTGAAGACCCTCAAAATCCTTCGAGGAATCACCACTAAAAAAAAGTACGAATTTTATATGAAAAATATCCCATCAACTCTTACCATTTAGTGACATCAAGTTTTCAGAAGGGGACGTGGCCTTATCTCGAGCGTTCATCAAATTCTTGCATTCGCCGACAAGCTTCCGGCAAAGCTCCGACGAGGGTCAAATTTATATTCCTTTTCTATTTTTCTTATTTTTCTTCTTTCTTTCACTTCCTCTCTCCTTATTTTTCTTTGAAGAAGATATGTAAACTACATGGTTTGATGATTGCATGAATTCTAACAATATATAACAATTTGGTAAATAAAACTTAGAAAATGAATAAGATTAAATATATTTATAGAAGAAAAATTGTTCTCTTCTTTTCCTTTTCTTTTAAAAAAAAAAAATCTAATAATTTTAGAAAGAAAAATACATTTGGAAAGGCAAAGTATAGGCATATAATAATAAAAGAAGAATGGAAAGCATGGTTTTTTTTAGTAGTTAGATATTAGATGTGATATATAATAGTTTTGGAGTTTCAATGTGCTCTAAAGCTTTTGTCCTAACACTCCTTTTCTAAGTGATTTTTGGAAAGCAAAGGTCATTCTTTGAAAACTGCTCTCAAATACACCAAATATTTGGCATCCGATGCTTCTTCCACTCGCTTTTTAACTTACTCGCATGTGTTTTTTACACAAATATTTTAGGACTAAAAACCCCTTTAATAAATACCTTTTTGTCATTTTAATAGTACTCATTTCTTATAGTTAATCCATAATATTTTAATTATCAAAATCATGGGTTATATATTAATATATATGGATGGTATACATAAATTTGGTGGATTATGTGAATGGATGTAAATGAAAGAACATGACACTTTATTATGCCTAATTAATTAAAGGGATTAATACTTTTAAGCCTAAAGAAGCTTTACCAATTCACCCTTATCATGAGATCAAAAACAATATCCACAACAAAAGTCAAAAGTCTAGTTGAAGGCTGATGATATTATGACACGTGTCCATCCAAGACTGTTTTTGGCCACGTGGCATAATAAGAAGTGGATAACTCCTTTCATAGTCAAAGCTCGAGCTTCTTGTGTGTTACAATACAATAGCCAATGGGTGTGTTCCAAACATCCAGTATTAATTTGCCTCCCCACCCTTTCGATCTTTCGTTTGGATTAAAATAAATAAAAAATTATATATATATATGTATTATTATTATTTAATTTTATAATTATTTGTCAATGGACCGTATGAGATAATTTTTAAATATATATTTGAATTGAGTTGTAAATTTTAATTAAATATTTAACAATAAATAAATAAAGAGATTTTTTTATTCACTAATATTTTACTTTTATTAAAAATAAAATTTTAATTATCTAACTTAAAATTAAAAATAAAAATAAAAATTTAGGGTTGAATTGAGTTATTCTTTAATTTAATAAAAATAGTTTGAGCTTCATTTAGCCAAAATTTCCTTCCAATTAATGAGATGGTATTTAAAAAAGCAAACCACGTGTTTGACCAAAAAAATAATTATTTCCTATTTACATATACAAAAATGAAAATAAATATAAATTTATAAAATTTCAAAAGGCAAAAGACCTAAATATCTCTATTGTTACACGGTGAAGTTTCATATTTAGGGCTTAGATCACACCCATACACAACATTTCATCATGTAACCCAAATAATTATAACGGAACAAAAGATATGATTGTTTTTCAAACATATATTTTGAGATCAGTTGTTTTATATGTATGGACTAAGTAACACTTGTATATGGAAATTATACCACTTTACTGTATAACCATTTCGACTCAAATAGTTGAAACAAGAAAAAATGGCGTGATTGATCGTTCAAACAACAGATCTTCCTATAATGTATATATAAACGCTGGTTTATCAAGAATATGCAAGAAAAGCACTTCGGATTTTTGATTCATCACCAAAGATGGCTTAGAACCAATAGTTCATTATCTAATGGATTTTTCCGTTCTAATACTCCATCCGAGAGTTATCAGTATTTATCAAATCTGTTCCTATCTAACGGAACGCTATTGGATCAAATGACAAAGACATTGTTGAGAAAAAGATGGCTTTTCCCGGATGAAATGTTTGTTGCTATCTGTTACAATAATGAATCATTGGTTTAACTGAATAACTAAATAAAATAGATAGACCCTTCTCTTCGTCTTAGGTCGACGGATCTTCTCCATTGAAAGTTCCCCTATATGGATAATACACATTCCAGTTCAACGAGCCTAATTCTAATTGTTTTGTTCTGAAGACGGGGCGGTTCGTCCTATTCAGATATTCACGACCAAGAAACACTGGATTCTCTTTCGGGTAGGCCCTGAAAGGAGAAGGAAGGCTGGGGCAAACAATTTTTAATTGTTGGTACCAAAAATAAAGCAGCAGATTCAGTAGCCCGGGCTGTAACAAGGGCTCGGTGTCATTATGTTAATAAAAAATGGCTCGGGGGGATGTTAACAAATTGGTCTACTACCGAAACGGGACTTCATAAGTTCAGGGACTTGAGAACGGAACAAAAGACGGAGGGATTCAACTGTCTTCCGAAAAGGGATACCGCTATGTTGAAGAGACAATTATCTCACTTGCAAACAATCAAACATACATCGTAATATTTTATACTTATAAATAAAACGAATTTTTTAAAGGTAAAATAGGAATGCAAAAATATTTATAGGTAAAATAGGAATGCAAAAATTATTATAAATATTATAGATAAGGTTGAAAATAATACTACTTTTCAAAAATTAAAATTAGGTTTAAGAAAGGCTCCCTCACTTTGTTTGCCTATATATATATATATAACCCTTCTCTTCCCTAATTTATTGCAAATATCACCACATTTGTGCATAAAAGAAACTCCATCCCTTAATAAACACTCGTTACCATCAAAATGCTGCGTTGTTTTCTTCTCTTTTCATTCCTAGGGATCACCCATGCCCAAAGCTTCCACACTTTCATGTCTTGCTCCCAAACCCCATATCCAGACCTCTGCTTCCATTTCATCAACCCGAATCACAACATACCCACCACCGACGTCCATCAATCTTATCACATCACTCGCTTTCGAAACTCGGCCATTCGAGCCACTTTGAACCAAGCCATGGTGGCCCATCACCACCTTCTCTCTGCCATGGATTTAGCTTCCTTTGACGATGACTACAGAGTGAAATCAGCTTTAATCGACTGTCTGGAACTCTACGAAGATTCAATCACCGAGCTCAATCGCTCGATGATGAACTCTATGGGGGCCCATTCAATTGACCACTTGACATTGCTAAGTGCTTCATTAGCGAATCATCAAACATGCCGAGATGGGTTTCGAGATTTTGGATTTTCTTCTCATTATTTGAATATCATTTTTCCGCATCAAATTTTGAGTAATTTCTCGAAATTGATCAGCAATTCTCTTGCCATCACCAAGATCGCTGCCGTGACAGCTACTACTTCTTCCACCCCTTATAGCCAGCGGATACTAGCTGGTTCGTTTCCCAAGTGGGTTTCTGGTGATGATAGGATGCTCCTCCGGGACACGACCGTGAAGCGCGCGGATATGGTGGTGGCCCAAGATGGGAGCGGCAATTTCAGAACGATATCGGAGGCGGTGGCCGCAGCGGCGGAGGTTAGGAAGGCAAGTGAAAGAAGGTTTGTTATATATGTAAAAGGTGGGATTTACAGAGAGAATGTTGTGATTAAGAAAACGTTGAAGAATGTTATGATGATTGGAGATGGGATGGGTGCGACGATCGTTACAGCCATGAAAAACGTCAAAGATGGATCAACCACTTTCAGATCAGCCACTTTTGGTTCGTAAATCCTTTTGTTTTGATCCTATTTTTATGTTAATTTTGCTTCCATGCATGCATGCAAATGGATCGACTAGTTATAGTTTCCAAAAGAATTGAATTTAAAATCTTCAATAGGCTTTGAGCTTACAATCAATTTGTTGTCTAAGAGTTTTAGAACCTTTAATTTGATCAAATACTTATTAAACATGTTCATAGCGCAAAAGTTGAAAGTTATGTTAAAAATCATTTTAAATTTTAAAAACCAAATTTGTAATTGAAAATATTTACGAATAAATGAAGCCAAAAAATATAATAACAGAAATAAAAAATTGCAACTCATGGACCAAATTGATTGAATTACCGACCAAGACATAATTCATCGGAAAAAATGTTGACGGCAATTTCAGCGGTGGTCGGCGAAGGGTTCATCGCCAAAGACATGACGTTCGAGAACAGAGCAGGACCAGAGAAGCACCAAGCTGTTGCCCTCCGAACTAACGCCGATCGCTCAATTTTCTATCGATGCAGCTTCAAAGGCTACCAAGACACTCTATACGCCCACTCCAACCGCCATTTCTTCCGTGAATGCCACATCTACGGAACCATCGACTTCATTTTCGGCGATGGCGCCTCTGTATTTCAAAATTGCAACATCTTCGTCAGAAAGCCGATGGAAAACCAGAAAAACACGGTGACGGCGCAGGCGAGGTCCGACCCGAATGAAAACACGGGGTTTGTGATACATAATTCCGTTGTCAGAGCGGCACCGGACCTGAAGGCGGTGGAGGGTGTGTACAAAACCTATTTGGGTAGGCCGTGGAAGGCGTATTCGAGGACGGTGGTAATGAGGAACGTTTTGGATGGGCTAATTGAACCGGCGGGGTGGCTTCCTTGGGGCGGAGATTTCGGTCTGAAGACGGTTTATTATGGGGAGTTTAAGAACAGCGGTGGCGGGGCAAGTACAATGAGGAGGGTGCAGTGGCCGGGGTACCATGTCATGAAGACTGAGGCGGAGGCCGAGAGATTTACAGTGGAAAGTTTCCTGGAAGGAGGAGGTTGGATTCCGGGCACCGGAGTGCCATTTGGAAATGGGGTATGATTATGAAATAGAAAAAAGTTGATGGTGGTATGGTGGTAGGAAATAAGGTCTATTTGGAAGTGAAAAATGGGATGGGGGAAAAAAGTTGGGCAGTGCAAAAAGATGTAAGAAAAATGTTGTTTGGATTTGTTTGGGGACAAAAAAGTTGGGTATATAGCTTAATAAATAGTTATCAATCAGGATTAGATCCTCATTTTGGTTTTCCTATTTTTCCTTCTTAGTTCTTAAAGCACAAGCAGTTGATAGATAACCCAAATAAAAGTGAGATAAAAGTATATATTTTGTTCAGCAAGCACAAGAAATAAAACGTTAATCCAATCAAACCCTAAACTGGTGAACAGACCAACAATATTAATATGGAACATAGGGTAAGCTTATACCAAAAGTGGGGAAAAAACCACATTAATTCATTCATATATATATATTATATATTCTATTACTTTGTCGAGCTTCATAAGAATGAAGCATCAAAGATTATTAAGACAATTAAAATCCAAAATTTATGTAGGCTAAAGTTTTCCCGCCAAACAAACACTCTGGAAGCACTTACAGTGATGTTTTAAGAGATCTTGCGCCACCGCAAGATAGCAACAATTATTTCTTCAAAATCATGGGTTATATCTAATTCGCTTAAGTAATGACGGTAGGAGCAGATCGGCCGGTAAATTCTTGCATTTTTGAGAGCTTAAGAGCAACTTCCACCTGAAACGACAAACTAATCGAGTCAATACAATTCGGATACCCTGTAAAAGGATTTTTCAAGTTTCTTCATCAAATTGGAGAGAGATCTAACCAGAGGAGCGAGAGCTTCCTGAGAATCTCTCCCAGTTTTTGATGGATCTTTCTCATATTGCTCAATGTAGAGCCGAATAGTTGCGCCTTCAGAGCCAGTTCCAGACAGGCGGAAGACCTGCAACCATGTAAAGAAGATTGATAATATATAAATTGTCATTTGTACTAAAACGTTCTCACACAATTTTAGGGATTCTCTGTTGAGAGTTCTGGAAAGGCGGGGGGAAAAGCATCCTGATTTACACACGTACACACACACAGATATATATATATATTACTGTGCAGGGATCTGGAAAAGCAGTTCAAGAACAATTAACTTACCAGTCGTGAACCGTCTTCAAACAAATATCGAATACCCTGATGCTTTGAGATGGAACCATCAACAGGATCTTTATACTCAAATTCATCACCATGGACAACCTTTGAAACATCTGAACGAACTCCTTTGATCATTCTGCATTGAATGCCAATATTTATGCATCAAAGAGTTTTAAATTACACCAAACGATAGTGGAAGAAAAATAAGAGTTCAGAACTCTTTGCTAACAACACCAAGATAAGTTAAATAAACAAGACTTTCAAATATAAACAAATAACAAACTGATACTATTAGCAAAAAAAACTTATCCAACGAGAAGACTCAGAAAATGCTGCAGTCTTAACCGAACTAAGCTATAATGGTAGAACACTCCTGTCTATGTGCAACTTACCCCTCTAGCGTTACACTTCATCCTAAACAAAGTTCAGTGTAAATATTCTCGCCAAGAGTCAGAATGTTCACTACCTAAGGGCTCACCACAAGGTTCAGTGAACGTTGTATTTTATGAATAAAATGAAATCGCTAAGGAACTGTATTTTGTAGGACCGCACTCTAAAAAACAGTATCTGGGTAACAGTTAAATGAGTGCCAACTGTACATAAGCTAGATAACTAGTTCATTTTCAAGACAATGAAAAACTGAACTAACACAAAAAAAAAAAAAAAAAAAAAAAAAAAAAAAAAAAAAAAAAAAAAAAAAAAAAAAAAAAAAAAAAAAAAAAAAAAAAAACAAAA